ATCCGTCTTAAGATATATTTCTGGAAACGTCACCTCATTAGCAGCTTAGTGCGATGTCAGCTCATAAAAGATGGCAGGTGACGAAACGAGGTGACAAATAGACCACCCGTGTTTGGTTTTATTGACGGATTTTATGTCACATTTCGGTTTAGTCCGTTGAGTTAACGATGATAATATGATACGGATGTTTTTCATAAAAGTTGAGAACAGCAACTGCGTGGAGGCACCTCCGCTTGAATCAAACGACCCAACGGACGTTTGCGAGTATCAAAGAGCTTTTGATAACTTGATACATCTCACATAAGGCCATTAAATCAGAAACTAGGCACAGACTAGGCAGAGCTATGGTAACTAGACTGTAGATAAAACATACTTATTTATTTCTAAATACATGCATAGTATAGATAATTTATAACCAGAAACCATAAATTATCTTGCCCATCACACAATTATTTGTCCAGGATGTCCAGCGCAAGCGCGAGACCAACTGGCCCTTCAAGTAACTTGTATATTTAAATATGAAAAATGCTATGAATAAGTATCATTGCAATAGTTAAAACTCAGACTACTCTTACTGAACTTAAACGTTTTGTGCTGTGTGAAAATCTTATACTAGATATTATTTATTATATTATCCTTATTCAGATTTATCTGTTACTTGTTATCTACATGCCACACAGAAATTGTAAAACACTACAATTCTAATCGTTTATTAATATATTTTTGTAGTCATAACTCGTCCTTCTTACGTCCTTGCGTCAAGTACATGGGCTGTGTAGAATATCAGAGGGCCGAACACCATAGCACCATAGACAATAGAGATTGACAACCTGTCAGCTCTAACAGTGTGACAAGAATGCCAACATAACAAGCGTATAATAGTTGCATTATCTTTGGTACAATGGAGCTTTTGAAAGGATTGTCAGCTGTACAGCAATTGGTTTCGGACCTTTAACAGTGTTTTATTACTGCACGTCACGACGTTGGCGCCAGTTTATTAAAAGAAAGACTCAAAAATGTGGTTGTGTTGTTGCGGTTAAACCATTTCTGTCGAGTTTGAGAGATGTTAAATATATATAAGGTATAAATTATACCAATATTTTTCTCACAACTCCACATAAATGTATTATAAATTAAAACTTGGTTTATGCTTTAAGGTCAAAAATTTTACGAGCTATTTTTATTGTAAAGGCTGTGTGTCTTTGAGCAGTAACCATGAACATAAACCCATCTTGGTTTTATACCTCACAACTTCTTTATAAGATACTCGATAACGGTATTTTTTACTACAGTGAAAACAGTACTGTAGTAAAAAATATAGTCACAGTTATGTCCAAATGGTCTCTTCAATCAGAGGATGAACCTCACCCCGGGCCCTTCGAGCTACTTTAGTCTGTGTAGCGTACCGTAGACGGTGACCTTATTTCACTGTCCTTTTGCTTATCCTATTTCCCTATCCGTTTTTCTTACCTCACATAACTTTTTGGGTCTGTCCCATTTCAAAACGATGACAATCCCTAAGATGGCGTCTCTGCATCAGGCGGCTGTAATCAGAAAAAATCAGCTGACGTACGAGCAGACGACGACTATGATGATGATGATGAAGGAATATATGGCAAAGATTAAGCCTTAAGATTAAGACTTCGTCTCGTCGTCGTGTCGTCTACCATAAAACTTCTTTCTGAAACATTGGTGCTAAAATGTGGGTCACCAAAGGTCATTAGTTCAAGGTTTTCAAATTGTTGTGGGCCGGTCGCGTAGTGACTGTCGCTTGAGGAATTTATTTGATCGATAATGCTTTAATGTTATTCAATAGACATGGCGGCGTTTCTTAAAGCAAGTATCTCTTAAGAAGTGAAAGAGTCACACATCGGCACACACCTCACAGAAAACCGGTGTTTTTTGCTTTTGCTGTATTTCACCTAGTGAGGAAGGTTACCAGGGGCCCAACCCTTCACCCAATTGTGACTCTTGAGTTAAAATATTCATTTTAATTATATGCTGTAAAGAGCACAAATGCACAACGTATTTGACTTATTTAATTAGTTAAGAAATAATAATGTATTGTTTAAAATAGCTTCGTATATAACGCATTGTTTTTTTTTGTAATATTTAAATAAAAATGGTTACTGTGGGTTATCCTTAGGAGATAGACATATACATATATATATGTTATTTTTTTGAAGGTCTTTTTGAGATATACAATTCCGAAGTACATTATTTTGGTCTATCTCGTAATTTTTTTATTAAGACAAATCTTTGAAATTCTCGGACTTTCTCTTTCATAATATGCCTGTATTATATATATGAACCTTCTTCCTTCTCTATTAGTGAAAACCGCATTAAAATCCGTTGCTTAATTTAAAAGATCTAAGCGTACAACAAAAAAAGCTACTTTATTTTATACTAAGTAAAGATATGCTTTAGGAATTAGGATCATCCTGTACAAAAAAAAAAAGATGGCAGTATGGAATGCTAATTATAAAAGTCCTAATTTCCACTTGGCAACATTTTTTCATTGCTCAAGGTATCGGCATGTCCTGGAGCATGAGTCAGGTTGAACAGAATGTTCCATAGAATTTTAATAATACTTTGTGGGCGTACGATGAGTCAGACTCTTGAATAAGTTAAAACTACAAGCTGCCTATTAGTTAATGATTTCACTGAACAATTGGTCGTATTGCTGAGGGGGTGGTACCATGCAGGTGCACAATTTGAGCTTGTTATGGAACTGTTGCTAGATTACTGACCTGGTTAGTGATCCTGATGGCTCAGCTAGGAGTGTTCGATTACCATTCAGGACAAATAAATGTGGCTGAGCACGACCAATTGTTCGGGTGTCTGGGTGTAATATGTACGGCTTAAATATGAATGTTTTTTTTGGAAAAGACAACACATTAGGAATATATCCTGTGTCGCGGGGGTCTTTACAAAAACACATCAAACGGACACACGGAACCCCCAGACTCAGAACAACAATTTGTGGATCACACGAAGCACTGTCCCATGCGGGGATCGAATCCACAACACTCAGCGCTATAGGAAGCGATGAGGTAGGTGGTCGCCTAAATCGCTATCCGTGCAGTCAATTATGTGGTACGATGGACCGACGACTTGAGGAAAGTGGCTTGCAGAATATGGATGCGGACTGCCCAAGACCGGAAAATTTGGTGCTCCTTGGCCTTCGTTCAGTTGAGGACGGCGATTGGTTCATAATTAGATACCGGGATCATCGTTAAAGGAAGCTAAGCCACCGCTGACTAGACCTCACCACTATGAAACAGATGTTACTTATTGCCAGGCCCGTCTCTAATCTATTGGAAGCCCTGGGCAAATTAGCATAATGGGGCCCCTACGATCTTAGCTGAGCACTATTTTGTTAGAATGGACAAAAAAGTATTGTAGTCAGTCATTGCAAAGTGATTTTTCGAAATAATCATGTATTTCGGTGATTATGATTGGTTATCTGGCAGGAATCGGGCCCCTATCGATTGAGGGGCCCTGGGCACGTGCCCAAAGTGCTCAGTGGGACAGAGGGGCCTGCTTATTGCTTATTCTTACCTGGCAATAGACTTACTTTCTACTTCGCCATTGGGTCTAAAATGTTATAGTCAAATAGTCTGTAAAGTGAAGACAGTAAATAAGAGTATAGTAAAGAATAGATTAAAAAGTTAGGTTCTTCTTTAGTTTTACATTTAAATTTACATTTATTATTTGTTTATGTGATAATATTGTAATAAAAAAAAATATTAGTGTAGAAATCGCTCATCTTCGCTCTCAAAAGCATAGTGACTAAAATGAGTAATGATTTTTTTGAACGGGTCACATTGAGTAACAGTACTTTAAACACTACTTACCTACATACATATAATTAGTGTTGCACATGTAAGTACAAGTGTAATGAGCGATGGTCGGTTACGTGCCATCAAAACACCCTGACTCATCATGTACCGGAGTGGAAGTTTAAAGAGTTGATAAAACCAATACCAATTTACTCGATAGTGATGTTACGGCTAAAAAGATGTTCTGTATATATATAAAAATGTTAAATTTGTTTGTGTCTGCTTCAAAAACTCAATCAGTTCTGCACCGATTGAGTTTAAATTTTGACATATTGTATGAACCGCTTCAAAGATAGTTTTTTTTCTGATTATATTTTTCGCATCAGCTTTGTTACTTATTTATCATCAATGCAATTGCACTACAAAGTGCCATAGTGAAGTGTAGCAGAGTTAATAATAGACGATAGTGAAACTATTGCTAAAGAGATGTATTACTATTATTTATTTAATATAATAATCAAATTTGAAACACTGCAAATAAGCTCTCTTTTAAAGGTTGGTAGGTACCTTCGTTATGACACGTTCGGTAGTAATATAACTTATAGTTGACGGCGCTTAGAAATATGTCTATTAATAATTGTACTATTAGTTGAACTCGCGTGTGTAATTAAGAAAAAACCCAATAGTTTTAAGCCTAACGAGGGTCCTTAAATTAGGGGGTGATGTGATCGCCAGATATTAGACGCCACAATTATTCAAATATGACTTATATATCACTAGTGTAATATCGCTAGAAAAGAAAATTAACATAAGTAATTCGCTTTATTAATATTGTTAGATTGTGTACATCTAGTTGTGTGTACAGCTCTTCTAACTCCTAGATATGGAGGAAAGCTATGGCGATTAAGTTCATACTAAAGGAAGAATGAGAATAAAGATAAGAATGTATGCTTTAGAGGAACATGATGATCATAGCTGTTTCTTAAGAATGTTTCTGAGGTTCTTCTTCCATAGTAGATAGAAAAACAAATGATAGTGCTACTTCATGATCGTGTGTCACAATTACGCAGATATCCACAACGATTTATTTAAAAATGTTTAGGTAAAACCTAAACATTTAGTTAACCAAGCTGTGGATCTTAAAACACCATTCAAATCGCGAGCAAATTTGTGTGCTTACGACTGTATATTAAAACTGGTATTATCATTTCTATAAACATGTTCGTGTGTGCCAGTGAACTTCGGCCTCTCAATAGTTCATTTCCGTTCACTATTGCAACTAAGTCTATGGTCGATAGAAGATGTAAGTGATTCTGTTCCTCGAGACGAACGCATCCTGTATCGGTACGATCCAATATACATTATTAATAAGAATAAATGTCAGACTTGACTAGGCTTTCGTGTCCTTAGTGGGACAAATTGGTGTAGAATTAAAACACGTATCATCAAAGGAGACATTTATGAACTTTAGAAGTTTATTGTAAAGAATTACAAAGACTTGTAGATGTAACCATTATATGTATGTATTTTTAATTGAATAAATAAGAGGTGTGTGTCTTGTTGCATATATTTTTTCATTGGGAGAGGGCTCTTGCACATAAAAAAAATGTGTTTTGTGAACAAGTAGTTGCGGTTTAGAACCACACCTAGTAGTTTGACCCACGTTGCTAGTTTCATTTAAAACAAAACTAATTTAAATATTAGAATTCTATTCTCTATTATATTCTAGCATTCATATTATAATGAGTATATTCTTTGGCGATTTTTAAATATTTAAATCAGTGAATAAAAATAGGTATTAAAAAAGCAATTTCTAAATACAATCTGTGCTACTGAATATAGATCTGATGGTTTTAAGTTATAATAAATAATAGATAAATGTATAATAACAAAAATAATACATTACAACTTTTATAAATTGTAAATCCTATTAAAAATATATATTATACTAAAAATTCAAATGACATTCATTTTTTTTAATGCTGACGTTTTTTAGGCGACGAACGCTTAAACGCGTTGTACTCTATGGTAACATTTGCTGCCAATAGTTGTTTTCAAGTATAGAACAGATTAAAAAGAATCGTCCATTACTTAAATGCCAGTATAGCAACGATCTCTGTCTTTAAAATAAAGTGGTAACAAAAATGGGATCGTGAATTTCGAAGAGCCATAAAAAAGATTTACATAATAATAAATAGGACTCCAATGGTTATAAATATGGTGGCCATCTATCATAAATAATATCCGGAATCTCCCGATTCCGGATTAACCTAAATATAAAGTTATGTCTTTTTTTAAATAATATTGTTTATTTAGCCACATTCACAAATGGCTTCAGTAATAGTCATTTAGATAGGATAATACCATATCTGCAGTTATTCACTTTTCAGTAGTATTTAAGAAAATTGAGAGTCCAGTAAAATATCATTAGATTATATAGTACGAGTATGTTTCTAAAATGTGAAAAATTGTTATCGATGTAAACTAATTGCTGCCATAAATATAAATTTCCTTTTTAATATAAACATGCTTTGCTTTGCTTTGCTTGTTTTCATGGAATTTGAAAAGCCCTGCCTTAGTGGGTTCGATTCTCGGACCGGGCAAAATTTTATAGGTTTTTCTGAGAGGAAAAATATCTTAGCTTACTCCTTATATAGACAGCTACCTGGTAGTAAAATGTTATTAAAATCAGTCCAGCCGACAAGACAGCAAAACCAGCAGTCCAGACAGCCAAAAAAAATCGTGCAATGACAAATGAAAATAAAAACAAAAAATAATATAATTTTGACATTACAAACGGACACTTCAATTTTATTTATTTGTATAGATAGAAAACCTATGACTAGAAATGTTTGCTTTAGACCTAACTTAGATTGCTTATACTTAAATAAATTGTCATTTCCTCTCCAATATTCATCAATATAGAGCAGCTATGACTATAACAGTAATGAGAAGTGTATATTGTTATGAAAAAATCGACTTGTAAAGTATACATCAGAAGTTTTGACTGCGGTTCCGCGTTCTCTTAAGTTTTCATTAATTGCCTGAGTGATAGGTGCCCAATGCCTATCTCCGTACCCTTGTATAAATTAAATTTTCAGGACGACCGGATGCGACATAAAACCATAAACTACTATACTGTGGACTATAGTTTTAAAAGTTTAAGAAGCTGGTCACCCTACATACAAACTATGGTACAAGTTATTCCGTGTTATCTGACCGTAGTGCAGTATAGTATCTATTAGTTCAATTTGATGTTCTTTCATGTCTCGATAAGAAGATATATAGTTGTATAATGTTACGGTTTTATTAGTTTTTAAATAAGAAACATGGCGCCTGTAACCCGGCGTGCCAGAGTTACGGAATTGTCACGAAATTATCTTTATTTTACTGTTCTCTGAACACCTAGGTATAAAGTTATGTCTAGTACTAATGACTGTAATTCTATGTTATTTTTATTTGTTTACTTATAACACTTAGAAATGAACGAGACTAATCGTGTTTAAGTAGGAATGGCCCCCAGTCGTCATTCGTTCACGGTGAAGGTACGAGCTCTCGTCATACAAAAAGTAACAGAATTATGACAAATGTAGTATTTTACGTATATCTATACATATATCAAACGTTATGTTAGTTTGTGTTCGCTTCAAAAGCTCAAAAAGTTCTGCATCGATTGAGTTCCAATTTTGACACGGTATAGATTTTTCAGTTTTGTTCCCTTAGATTGTTTTAAATAATATAAGGCTACCACAATGTTCCACATCGAAGCTTGTCAGGGTACAACTAGAATATATATAAGTAGTAAGTTTGTCCCAACTTCGTAGCCTCTTCCAGGCATTGCGAATTTGAGAGAAAATGTAGATAAATAAATAAATGTAGAAATAAAATAAAATAAAATAATAGAACAATTTTTGAATGAATGAATAAAATGAATGTGTTCTTTCTTATATGTGTACGCTAATATATTAAATATTTTATTGTTTCTTCTTTTGTTTAATTTAAAATTCTTAACTAAAGTGTATTTACAATCGAATTTGAAAACTCGTAAACGCAGTTGCCGGAAAGTCTAGGGCTTTTGTTAAAATTAATTGCATGGATATATAAAATACCCAATAATACCATTCATAAATGAATGTGATGATGTATTTGAAAAGATTTATCTCAATAAGTGTGGAATGCCCATTTTAATAAATAAATAAGGAGATAATACCCATGTAGCTGTATATCAAGCTTTGTATTTCTAACACTATGAGATTGTCACAAAAATAGTGCTTAATTTATTTTTATTCAATATTAATGCAATCCAACCTTCGTCATTATATTAAACGGTAATTCTTAAGCTGTTTCACAAAAACCGGTAGCAGTTCTTAATATTATCACATTCCCACAATCATTTTGTTTGTTGTCATTGAATAAACTATAAGATACTTTGCGAAAGTCTCTTACAAAATATTTATAAGCCTATTTATTCGTTTATTGGGCAATAAAATAAATTATCGCACAGTATATGAGTATTGGATTATTCAATTTATTTTATGTTTATTACGTAGTTAGCTTTGAGGTTTTAATTCATTAATTTTACCAATCTCATTCGTGGTATTTGATTAAATTCAAACCGTCTTTCAAAGATGTTTAATTCAAATTGCTATGAATATTTTAAAGGTATTCCAGTCGTTCTAATACCATGCCCTTTATAGTCGTAGATTAGATAGCTTTAACATCTTTATAGGTTACAAAATATTACGTTTGCAATATATACGAATGAGACTAATATAGAATAAATATTAAAAAACATTGTTGTTATCCCTAGTGCAATTATTAAAAAAGTGAAATTATGTTTAGTTGTAAACCAAGAGCCTCGACTAAATATAGCTTTATGTTATGGTAGGACTCTTAAAGGAGCATTCATTAATATTCCCCAAGGGATCTTCCTAGTACGGTCATTACTGAGGCTCGGAACTCCTTCTTTAAGTGATCAATGGACTATATTCAACTGACGACGATGTGGGTGACGCTCATAGATAACTCTGTACTGAGATCTGGTCCATCTCCTCGGGCTTCAACTTCAAGTTGCACTTCACTCCTACAAGTTTTTCTAAATTAAGAGACTTTTTTCGTGAATCGCGTTCCTTATATATAACAAAGCATTCTGTCAATTTTTTTTATATACTTTTTTCTTTTGTTGCAGGTAGCTCAACGGACCTGACACCAACACTCATAGGAATATACGACTCACTCCTCGAACCTGAAAAGAGTCTTAGACCTGAAACATGCCGTCTGGAAACTGCAAAAGATGCCAGAAATGATCCTCCAGTGAAACCGACAACGGAACCAAAAGAAAACGTATCTAAAATCGAAGAAGCCCCAACTATGATGACGGGTGGTGTGAAACTACCTTTTGCCAATTATAACAAAAGTTCTTTATATGCCATACGAACCAAAAGTGATAGCGATAGTGTAGGTGATGAAGTTAATAAGTGTAAAATCAGTGATGCATCAATTAATAATATACAAAAGACTATTAAAGAGACCAAGCAAGTCGCCGATACGACTTTCGATAATCTTTCACCAAATGTGAAAAGAATGATATCTTCATCGGAAATGACTGCACTTAAATTCCAAAAGAAAACATCAAACATTGGTAAAACGTCAATGAGGAGATCTAACATTCCTTTAGTAGGGGCAACTTCAAAAATATCCCAATCAGGTGTCGAAATTTTACCGTCAGTTGAAATATATGATCAACCGTGTGTGGCCAAAAACTTAAATAAGTCTAAAAGCGAAGAAATTGAATCTCCTAAATCCGTGCCTCTAAAGCCTGAGTTCAAAATAGATGACGCTCAAACCTATGATGTACCAACGAACAATCGTCCAGCTATTTATGACGTTCCAGTCAATAATAAAACAGCTTTTGAGTCACTATCTTTACCTTACATAGACCAATCTATCGAACTCTCTATTACTACTAACGATAGAGAATTTGATATAAAGTTATCTTCGAAAGAAAACTCGCCTTTGCAACAAAAAGTTTCTGTAGAATCACCTGTGAAAATACTAACAGATGGTACAAACAGCTTGCATCGTAAAGATTTTCTCAGTAAGACGGAGACTCCACCTAAACTTTTGTCGAAGACTGTTCCTTATCCAGAAACCATAGGATCTACTGGTAATCTTAAAACGGAAAAAGAGGTTATCAGATTAAATCCACCTGTTGTCGAAGTGTCACGGCCTTTATCAATGAGTTCCATTGCTTCGTCTAGTTCGACCTCAAGCAGCGGGGTGCAAAATAAAGGGGGAGTGAATTCTGCGTATTTAGCTTCGATCGAAAGTCTGGATGATCATAGTGATGTTGACATGACATCAGCGAATGGCAGTAACAATTTTGTGAATAATGCCGGTATTATGACCGCGAGTGTTTCAGAGGAGAGAACTTCAGTGGACACGACTCGTAAGTTGTTAAATGCCTAGAATTTCATACTAACATCTCATAATAACCACCTTAAATATTTTTTGAAATGTGTTTTGTGGTTACGAGTTGGACTATAAGAAATATGTCTGTCAGAAGTTAGTAATATTTTAGTATCCTAGGTTATACACCTAGCTCTGCACCGTAGGTGATAAAATATAGGCTTTGTTGTACGCAGGCGCAGACATGTTATAGCATAGAGAAGATTACAGAAAACACTGTATACCTACTTGTAATCTATCTCATTCTCTCGCAATCTAAATTTTATTTATGAACATGTTTGTCTCTTTTGACTGTCGCTTTTGTTCTGTTCTGTTCACAGAGTAAATAAGATATGATGAAACAAAAACGCAGATATAGATAGTTTTATGATTTATTCAACCTGAATATGAATAAAAATATTAAACATATGTTCCCACAGCTCAGCACATAGACGAAATGCCAGGGCTATCACAATTAGAACGGGTTTGTGCAGAGATAATCCAGACTGAAAACGTCTACGTTGAAGACCTGAGGCAGGTGGTGGAGGTAAGGATACGTTTTTTTGTTACGATCCTAGAGTTTTCCTCGCAAAAATTTTGGGAAACATGTTTAATATTTATTAACAATTGTGATTAAAATATTACAAACATAAACACATACGGTACAATTTCTTTACAAGTATTTCTTTTTAACTAATATTTATTTGCGATTAATCCCTTTCCCACGCCCACTACTCCTGTACTCCAGGATCAAGAAAAGTGACACACGAACACACCGAGTTATGACACTCGGGAAGTTCCAGGAAAATTTAGACAGTCTTGGAACCCGCAACGAAATTAATGAGAAGTGAATTGGAGGAGTTGGAAATATGATAAATTCATTAGGACAAATTATTGGATTGTCATTCAAACTACAAATGCATAGGAATTCTATTTCAATGCTATAATTAGAAGTTAGTCAAAATTGACACAAAGTTTAACTGACAAGTAAAGCGAATGAAAACGTGTTAAAAATGATTTTTGTTAGTTGTGAATACTCAAAACCTTTTGAATCTTTCAATTCCAGTAAAACAGAACTAAATTTGTCAGTGCAACGATGCTGTTAAAACTTCGCGTTGCCTGTTTCCGATCTCTTTGAAATATCAGATGCGTGCCCATTACCAATGCCGGCGCCGACCAAATTAGTAAAACCCTCGTTTAGTATGTTGTGCAATCCTGCTGAACGAACATATAACTTCTGAAGCTGGTTTTTGTCAAGTTACACTTACATTGAGTAACTTAAATAAAATTTAAAACTGCATATACAGCCTAAAATGCCGCATAAGTATTCTATCAGTCAATCTAGCTTAAATAGTACAAGCTCTTCTTAGTTTGAATCTAGATGGCGTAGTGTGTAAGATGTCCGAAAATATTATTATTATTAATTTTTTTGATTTTTTTATGTTTAATATTCTGCAAACCGTTGTTTAGACCCAAAACTAATCTAAGTTTGTAATATAGCGCGAACAAAGCTTCAGGATGCTCCTATATCACGCCATAATGCTTATCTATATTATTTCAATACATGTGGATTCTATAACTGTAACCACCCGTAATACAAAGAACTTGTCCAGAGGTCTATCACAGCAATCCTTATTAAAGAAACTGTAAATGTTTTCAAACATATAAATATGTGTTCTAGAATACGGATAATTATCTCTATTAGACCTTTAGCCTACCTATTACTTTAGCTTCGTTTGCCTCCTTAAATTTAGAGAGCTAATTATAATTTAGATAATTTTTAAATAAAATACAGAAATATTTATTTTCAGTAAAGGAAACTATGATACACCTAAAAGAAACATACATTTCTCACTAAAACTGACTCAAAATTCCCTCCTTTATAAATAACTCCGAGTAAAAGCGTTTAACAGCGCTTATCAAGCGCTAATCAGCGTTTAAGGCAACAAACTCGCCAAGTAGGTCACCTACTTTATTACTAGTTCTATAGAATTGAAGGCAATAAAAAATACCTCTTTATTACCTAAGTTACCCATTATGATACGATACGATAAAGAAATAACTTTTGTTTATTATCGTAATCTGAATTGAAAAAGCTAGTATCTCAGTTAGTTACGAAAACAATATGTGTTATAAATCTAATATAAAAAACATAGATATTTTCTTTGTTATAACAATTTTTCCACCTTTTTAATTTTGTGCGTTTTATTTATCTAAGCTGAAATCAGCACCGATATCAAATGGGTCGGCCCATTGACTTCTCACGTCATGTCACTTCCATTAAAAGTTTAGGGCATACTTAAACTAAATATTATAATACTGTCATTGACTAACCACTTAGGTTTTTTTATTTATTTATTTATTTATTTTAAACTTAATGCACATATTGTACAAAGGCGGACTTAATGCCATTAGGCATTCTCTACCAGTCAACCTTCAGGTGATGTAGAAATATGATGCGGTAGGTGCAAAATAAAATATGATATTAACATAATTTAGGTCCAGAAACATACACAATATAAAAACACACATGCATACATAAACCTACATAAATTTAATAAAATATATAAATACTCAGTCGGGAACTAGAGCTGTAACTATTTCGCCAATTCACCCCGAAGAAGATCGCGCACTTTTCCCTTGAATGCAAGGCGATTTGTTGACATCCTGATTTCGGCAGGGAGGGCATTCCAGAGGAGGACTGACTGGACGTAGAAGGAGGAGTTGATGAAGTTAGAGGTGTGAGGGGGGCAAAGAAGAAGCATATTGTTGGTTGATCGAAGATTTCGATCGTGATTGGAGCATAGGAAACGGAAGTGGGGTACGAGGTATTCGGGTAACGATGGAGAGTTGAGGAAAGAAAAGAGAGAAGTCAGTGCTCGTAAACTGCGGCGCTGACGAATTGGGAGCCATTGCAGCTGGGAACGTAAAGCAGACACGTGGTCATACTTGCGAAGATTGAAAACGAATCGAATGCAGTTATTGAGAAGGCGATCTAGTTTATTGAGAAGGTCTGCATTCAGGTCGAAATAACACACATCACCATAGTCGATTATGGGAATAATTAAGGACTGCATAAGCGTAACCTTAGTTTTAACGGGAAGGAAGTTCTTCAATCGATATAAGGCACGGAGACATGTGGTGACTTTCTGGCCGACGTGTGTAACCTGTGCCCGCCAGTCAAGTGTCGAGTCGATATGTAACCCCAGGTTCTTTACCACTGCACTATAAGGTATAGTCACATTGTTGTAGACAACTGGTGGGATGACCGCCATATCCAACCTACTTATCATTTGTTTGCTCCCCACGACGATCACTTGACATTTGGTTGGATTTACCGACAAACCAAACCTCGTTGACCAGCTCTTTATAAAGTCCAAGTCCTTGTTGACTTTGTCGATAGCGTATGTTATGTCCTCAACCCTTGTCTGTGTGTACACTTGTAAGTCATCAGCGTACAGGTGATACGTACACTGAAGGTGCTGGGTTATGAGATTAATAAATATTGAGAATAATAAGGGAGATAATATACCGCCTTGAGGGACGCCAGTGAGAAGATCACACCAACTCGACGACAAGTCATCAATATGAACACTCTGTTGTCGTCCCTGAAGATAGGAGGAGAACCATTCCAGAGCTTCTGAGGAGATCATAAGATAGGAAAGGATGGACAATAGAACGTCATGACTAACGGTATTAAAGGCATTCGAGAAATCAATCAAAGCCAGCACTGTGACTTTAGTCTCCTCCATACCCTCCCTAATATCGCTTGTCACTTTGAGGAGAGCGGTGGTTGTGCTGTGACCAGGTCTGAACCCAGATTGTAAAGGACTAAGAAGATTCTGCTGATTTACAAACTGTGCGAGCTGCTTATGTACACAGGCCTCTAGCACTTTAGAAAGAAAGGGAAGTATAGAAATTGGTCGAAAGTGTTCGGGAAGAGAGGGGTTAGTTTTTTTGTGTAAAGGAATGATGAAGGCCTTACGCCAGAGTGAGGGAAAGGTTGCAGAGTCGAGTGAAAAGTTTATGATATGAGATATTGCTGGAAGAATGTGATCCAGGATGGTAACAATCATGCGACGGCTGATACCGTCACATCCCACAGCATTGGAACGAATGGATAGGATAATAATATCGATTTAATAACGATCTTAAAATATTTTTTTAAAATCGAATGTGTAGACGTGTTCAATGTGTAGACGATAAAAAAATGTTCTCATGCTAAACTAAACAGGTATACTAAGCTGTGGACTAACTTAGGCTAACATTAACCATCAATTTGTATGCACATGGAGTAAGTTGATTTCCCGGTTTATTCCGTATAAAGGGACGGTCTCGGAGGGGAAGAATGCGCGAAAGGGACAAATCGATTTCTTGGGAACATTTGGGGTGTCTCCACAATCACTATTTAAATTGGAAATTAAATTGAATTAATTTTGATAGCTGCAAACTGTTGTTTCGTGATCTGGAAAATAGAATTTAGTTTTAACCAACTTCAATAAAGGAGAATTTTTCAATTCCCGTTGAACATGTTTGGACAAATCTTAATTTTTAATTTCAAAGTCACTACTTTGAGTTTGTTTTTTTTTCATAAAACATGTATCCTGCGATGGTAGATAACATTTCTAAATCTTTTACTCTTACAATCATGTAACTCTGCTATTAAGAGATGGAAAAATATACGTTGTTTAACAAAGTGATTATCATAGACAATGATTTTTTTCCGCTCATTGTCATTGTAATTAAAACTACATGTTTATTACATGAAGGTTGTCGTGAACACCAAGAAAAAATATTGTTCGTAAATTTTCCTTAAGAAGTTGAGAATATTGTCTAATACATTAATTAATTAAAATTGTACAGCAGTAATACTTGTTGTGGTGGTGGTGTACCAATTCATTATTCATGGTAAGTTCGCGTGCGGCTGTGACCGAGTTTCTATTAGCCGGTGTTGCAAGCTCATTTTAATAAAAAATGATTTATTATTACACTATAATTGTCAATATACATTACTTTATTCTGTTTTTGTGTTATTAATATTACACACTAAGTTAATACGTTAATATTGTTTTAATAACACGCTTTTATTAGTTTGGGATTTATGTATCTTTGTAACGGAATATTTAAACGTGATTTTCAGCCATTTATTAATAGTATATTAATTAATTGTTTCGTGTTAACTTAACAGTGAGACTTAATTTATTAAATTTTATTAGAGATAAAATTATAGAAACTATTTGGTGCTAATGAGGTTTATGGAAAGTTGGACTCGTATTAACTGAGTAGGTTAACACATTGCAAAGTTAATCAAGATTAGCTAGGTCAGTCTATGGATGGGTGACCATCCTTAACACATTGAGACCCCTCCGTGCTTCGGAGAGCACGTTAAGCCGTCGGTCCCGGTTGCCATACGAACATCTGTACAAATCGTTACGGGTAGTTGGAACCCTAAAAAGTCACACAATACTCTACAGAACTTCGATATCGCCTAGTACTTGGGTACCTCCACAAGGTTTAATGGCAGTTTCTAAATCAAAATTCAGCTTTATCGTATTAGACTTAAAGCCGACCCCAGCTTAGTTTGGGAAAAAGGCTCGTAAGAAGAGGTTTATGGAAAGTTACAAATCTATTTACACCACTAATTTGCTGAACATACCTTTATATACTAGCAGTGTCTACCTGATACCGATGCCCGTATAATAAATTATTTGACTAATAACAATTTGTGTCTCTTTAATTTCTTTCAACCTTGCACTCCCATCAGATCATCGATTTTTAATCTGTCTGCATGCCCGAATACCCTTTCTTTTGGCACCGAAATGACCTCGGAAATCTGTCACTGTGACAGGTGTCAAATCACTGCTCTCGGCACTTGACTGCGTATTAACTATGAATGAATGTGGCCGTCCCATTTTAAAAATAGAACTGAAAATTAAATGCGTTTTTCAATCACATTTCTATTTATCTTTGTGTTAGTGATTTTTTAACGACGAAGTACAATATTCGAGTTACGAGTACCTAAGTACGCTAGGAGTACTTTAAAATATTGTGTTTAAATTAATTGTAATTGAAACTGATTTCCTTATTATTATTTTTGTAGTACCTAAGGCGTTTTTAAAATTTAAAACTAGTTTTATTTTCGGTGAACTAGATTCATTTTTTTCTTCTTTAATTCTTGACATTGA